CGATCGTTAAACGGTGGATTTTCCCGGCATGGCCTGGCTGGATTTGGGTATCTCACTGCAGCCGATCTGTGGAGTTGTCGGGGGCCGGTCATTTGCTTGAATGAGAGTCCGAGGGGCGTTCGATTTTATCTCCCGGAGCTGTTAATTTCTTTTTTGGCTTTGTTCCCCTGCCGCACTGCGCTAGCGGTTTATCTCTTGAATTTCTTGCGCAGGCGAGCTTAGAGGAAGAATTGTTTCCACTCCACCAAAACCCGACGGAACCGAGTCACGATCACTTCTAATGACCTGCGATAATCCGAATGGTCACATTCGTTTTTTATCCTCCCTCCTATCTTCATGTCGCCTCGCATTGCAGACGAGCGTCTCGTCTAGGGAGGAATTTCTTCCGGATTTAGCTCGCCGCTCCCGTTGCGTCCTGAGCCGACTGGTGTGCTCTCACTTCGCAGTCCCGGCTCGATTCGATCGGGATGCTCCGTTGGTGTGTTCGCAACTCGATCGATGTGCTCGAGCGCTGCGTGTATTGAATTTCAAGCCAAGCCGCAGGTAGTAGTTGACTATAATATATGAGCTCATTCAGGTAAGAGTCCCATGAGGAAGCGCCGCTGCCATACGCGGAACTTCAACGAAATCGTTGAAAGCGGGTTGAGGATAAATGTATGCGGATACGTATGCAAAGTACCTATGTATCTGCATGCAGAAGATAAACGTGATATTTACGCGGCTCCGGCAGTGGACTTTGGACTAGAATCATTTCCATGCTGGTATACCGCTTCCAAGGCATTTCCGGGTTAGGGAATGAAATACAACACGGAACGAGGCAGCTCGGTGTCAGGGCAAAGATCTCGCGGTCTTTTTATCAATCCTTCATTCCATTCAATCTGAATGAGTGTCGTGTTTTTTCCGCTTGATCTACGAATCGTTTCGGAATAGTCTCCTGCAGTACTCCAATCAGAATTCCATCGTTCCCTACACGATCATACGTTGCGCTGTACGGCACACTGAGATCTTCATTCTCTGAGATCGTCGGTATTCATGAGAAAGCCATCGATGATGAGCTTACCGTCAGCACTCATCTATTGACTTCGAGCCGCATCCGGGGTTATGAGCGACGACGTTATCAGGAACCTCCTTCGACACGCATTCAAGAAATTAGTTTTCTCCTCGACGAAGATCGCTGCAAGCACCTGACTATGCTCAGACGGAAAAGAGCAAAAAATACTAGTCTGATAGACACCGTGCACGAACGGAATCGCGGACCAGTCCAGCCCCGACTCGGATTCGATGACCGGAAACCGTTCGAGTCAGGGAGAGCAAGATTCAAAATCGTCAATCCAGGCGTTTGATGCGATGTCAATATTCCGCATGAAGTTCCGACGGGCCTGTGACACCTATTTGAAAAGCAAGAAATTCCACTGCTCCTACCGGAAGCCACGAGAGGTCGTGGAAATGAATTACCGAGAGAATTGAGCTCTACATTCTGTCGGCAGGCTCGTCGACAATATTCGTTGAATGCCGAGACGGCGACCGGTGGGCCAGCCAGCCTGCCTGCCAGACCCGAAGCTGCTACGAGTTTTCAGGAAGAGATTCAATGCCTCGGTATCGCTGTGTGGGTGAGTGGAGCTAGTTGACGCGCGGACGCACAGACTCGGTTTATAGTCAGTGGAGCTTTCGAAACTCCACCCTCTTCAAAATGGTCTACGACACGCTACGGAACCGCGTATATCATTCGAGCGGGGAAGATTGCACACGGGACCCTTACTCCGAATCGCAGTCCGAGTGACTAGTGGGGGAATATTTATCAGCATAGCTCATCTTCCGAATACCTTGGGTCATACAAGTGTTCTCTCGAATATCGCGTGAAACGATTCGAACGGTCTCGAGGGGGGTGACGGACGCTCCCGAATAGACATCAGATTTCAATATTTCCGTGTCGTTCGTACGAACGCCCTACTGCTATCCCTTCTCATATTGAACGATTAAGTCTGTCATAATCAGCGGAGTTATGGGAACACTCCCACACGCAACGAACTCTATTTCCTGGACGACGCATTCGCCGAATCCCTAATCCTGTTTGCACGAAGCCTGGGGCTTATCTTGGCAAAAAAAACGAAATGCAAAAGGGAAAAACGGGTTGTCAGATAAGAGATAACGTATTGTGTAGCCAAAAAAAAAGAACGACAACGAGCGAAGGCGAGAGTCCCCTCCTACACTTTGCCGATGAAAGATGATATTAACTCACAATCAGCAATGAAACGTTAGCAAACAATACAAACCAACCACCCTCTCTCCCACGCAAGTGACTTTTGCTTCAGCGAGCTTGCCGTATCTCCTGAATTCGCCCATTCACCGTCGCTTGAGTGTAGTCCCCACACCTCTGGTTCCCTGAATCGAAACGATGCCGAAAGTTGCTCTTTCAGTAATCGCAACCCGCTCCGTGTTTCATTCCTCGGCGAGAGTCCAAGCCAGCCAGAGATTAATAATGATCTGATGAGCTCAAAAAAACCTTCAAGTCAGTAGAATCCGGATTTCATCGAGTAAGGATACGCTAATCGGACCTTGTGTCTGAACAACTTTGAAGAGAGCTTCGAACAATTTTGTGTCGTACGACGACAAAACACACAGAAGTAGGCGCGGAGTAGCCAAAACTGACGGAGCTAGCGGGGCACGATCGTCTCGGGTCGTAAGAAAGTTCTTCTCTATCTTCGCCCGCTATTTCTCTCTCGGTTTGTTCTTTTGTTCTGTTATCATCGCCACACCTGCGCCACCTCCGACCGCCCGGCGCGAACGAACGAACGAACAAGCGACTGAGCGAGCGAGCGATAACGTCACTAATATACTGCTTGTTGTATGGATAACACTTTGGCCCCAACCACGAACTCCGGCTAGACAGCTAACCTATCACAACTGACCGAGGGGCTTGGGCGAAAGGTGCGCTGCAAGGGATGGGGGCGGAAATGGTGGAGGTTTCAGGGTGTTCATCAATGAGGGACGAAGGGGGGACGGAGGGGGCACGGAGGTGAGGCAACTGAAGTTTGGGTCTAAGGAACTCGGGAGAGTCGTAGTTGTTGTTTCCGTCGAGTTTGTTTCCGTGCCTGTTCGGCTGATAAGTGGAAGACGATATCTCCAGATTAAGGCAGCGATGCTGCAATAACCCCCAGAGACTCGTTCAGCAAACGGCTGCTGCTGTCTCCCAATCGGGGAAGCGGGGGATTGGGGGTCTCGACCATAGGCCGGCCCTTGAATGTTTGTATGGTTGTTTTCGGGGAAAGTGTTTCCCGCTGGGTAGTTCTCTGTCATGGATTGGCCTTCTTACCACCGCGGGCCGCATTTGGCCGATCTCGTTGACGCTTTGCTAAACGATAAGTCCCACTGAGCTCAAATTCGCGTTGAGTGTTCTCTCCACCACAGTGGGAAGCTCCGGAATTCGAACGATCCAAAAATATCTTGAATTTGAGTGCGGACCGTAGCCCAATCGTGTCTGGAGCAGCGTTTATCAAACTCGGGGGGCGCTTCTCCCGGGGGAAACGCTGAAGACTTCAGGGGAAACGCAGAGGATCCCTAGAATTCCCAACCGACCGATTTTTCGTCTAGGAGAGGTCACCCAGCTCATTGCTAGTTTAGAATAAGTCTTAAATCATTGTACGATTGATCGAGGAAGCCATGTTCCACGGAGGAAACGGGACTGTTACATGTTCAGGTCGAAACTTCACATTCTCAGATATTCGGTGATCTCCTTGGGGGACGCGAGCGCCCCTCATAAGGTTCGGGGAGACGTGGGGGAGAAAAGTTTGAGAACAGCTGATCTGGAGTATGATGCGAGTCGAGATCATCGATTTCCAAGCCACACTATCGCCCCTGATTCGATTTTTTTTCCGCTTTCAGATGTGAAACACTCGCGCGGCCCACTGGAATAAAATCGATCGGTGTGAGTACGACCCCATTGGAACCTCTCGGGGTGTTCAATAATTAGGCGCCAGGAATCGCGGACGCGGAGGTTGGCGCGCCGCTGAGATAGGAGAACACTTGTGGATTACTATCGATACCTCCGTGTTTGGCATTTTCATCTCCTTTCATCCTTTCTTCGGAGCACGCCTTCCGGAATGCGGAGGCTATATCGGTCTCGAGCCCGAACCCTAAGGAGCGATTCTTATGTGAAGCCTTGGGGCTTCCGGTCTATCAGCGACTTCTGCACCAAACAATCCCGAAATTTTCCGACGGAAATCATTCCTGACGCTAATTTTCTCAACAGCGACAGCCTGCTGTTGCTCGGAACGCGGTCGACCCCAGTCGTTGGCGAATTCGCGTTGCTTCCTTGCCGTTCTGATCGAAAACGTTCTTTGAAATGTAGACTTATTAGAGAAATACTTCACCGATTCCGTTAGTTTGGTCCTTTTCCCGCCAGTCAGCTAGCTGATCGACGTACGCTCGACGCGAACGTCGTATGGCAACACCATGCTAGTCACCCTTGGATTCTCTGCAGGAGACTTTCCGAATGAATTCGGACGAGTCGCTGTCGTCTAAGACATCGACAAAAACATCGTCGTGAGTGCTTCGACCCGCCACTACCAAATTAATCGTTAGTCAGCGAGGAGTTCACCCGAACCACACCTTCTCGCGCGAACTCCTCTGAATCGTAGAAATGTTGATAGATTCGAATCGTGGTTTAGCGGAGAATCGTCAGTGGCTAATCCGTCATCCTCTGGAAGGAGAAATTCCTCCGCGTCTCCACACTTCCGCGCTCGAATCTTGCGGGATATTTTCGCTCAAACCGTCCATCACGGTGACCCGAGCAAAGAAATCCTAAAAAATTCAATAATCGACGACCCGAGTGTTCTGGTCAGTCGTCGTCCGAAGCCGAACATCGGATGCGTTTCTCACTCGACCAGCGCCGTGACTACGGAGTGGGCTTTGGAAAATGGGGTGTTTGATCGGAGATCGGTTTTTCCTCCATGTCTGTCCCTATCGCCGGATCCTAAATGAGCGATTCCAATTACAGAAAGATGCGTCGCTGGCGACCTCCAGACGCCAAATCGACTTCTGGGGCTCTCCTGTACATACTACTGTGGATCGGTTTCAACGCATTCCCCACAACCTTGGCGAAAGCTGCCTGCTTCAAACAGTATCTACAATGCCAATGCATAAATACCGTGAGTACCTTGCTAGAAAATGCCAGCCGTGGCCACAAGGTGACGGATGAGAAGAAAATTCATGTCAGGTGACTTAAGCGGAAGCCTCGCGTCCAGATCGTGCAGGCGCTCATCATTAGAGGCGTCTGTAGACACCGATGAGGTGGCGCTTTAGCGAACAGCGGATGGACAGCGATTAAGACAGCGAGGGAACTCCCGAGGATTTCGCCCACCCCTGAATCTGCGGAACTTTCTCGAACTGTCCAATGGCATACGAGGGAGCACTGCACATATGCCGTCAAAACAAACACGATATTCTATTATTCCAGGGTCTCTTGTATGTAAAATGCAGAAAGTTGGAAACAGAAAGCATTCCCCATATATTGCATCCGCAACTCGATGTCCTCGAAGTGACTTATTCCAAGCTCACTTCTCTGTCCAATGCTGATGTATACACTTCGTAAGTTGACCAATCGATCGTAACAATTTCGTGATTCGATAAAACTATTCCTGATGTAGAGCTATCACACGCGACTCCATGCCGCGAGCTTGACATATTTCTAATCGGAACGCTCCCCTTCAAGTATGCAAGTCTTCAACGTGACTGGAAACGAGCTCACGTCACTCGGTCAGCCCTTGGCGAGTCTTTCCAAACTCCACACGATCATCGCTCGTGAGAACAAACTCGACGCCTTGAGGCGAAGCGATTTACAAGGAATCAAGTGAGTCGATTCTCCGGGCCTCGACTCGGAAACTCGGTCATCCTGAGAAATCGGTCGCTCCCACTGTGCGATGCTCACCGACATTTTGCTTCCAGGAATTTGAAAGTTCTCGACGTATCGAAAAATAAGATCAGCGGCATCGAGGACGGAATGTTCGCAGACATTCCTCTTCGGGAACTCGATCTATCGCAAAATAGGATCAGGATAATTACATCGAGAACTCTGCAGGTTTGTGCCAAGCTCCTTCTGTGAGATAATGATCAGCGTCATGGACCGTGAAAGCTCGATCATTGAACGGGAACGGAGGAATAATCCTACGTGCCGTGACAAAGTTTTACCATCAACGTAAGCAATTCTCTGACTTCCAGGGCTTGAGCAAGCTGCAATCCCTCAACTTGCGGGACAACGAGCTCACAAAAATCCCTCCGCTCACCGATCTGCGATATCTAGTTTTCCTGGACATTTCATTCAATGAGCTACGGTCTATCGAGGACGGCATCGTGCCAAACGTCAGGAGTTTGAACCTAGAAAGGTACGCTCCGTTGGAACCTCATTCGGGTGGGGAGAAGAAATATTTCTGTGAAAATAACAAAGGACTTCAGGCTCTGAAGAACGACCCGCGTGTGGAAATCCAGTGGAATATTATTCATAATCTCATGATGATTCACCATGAGCATGCATAATCCTGACTTCCGGTACTGCGGAAAATGAGGTCTAATATTCCATTATTCTGGCGGCGTTTCCAGATGCGATTTGAAGAGTACAACATTCTTGGCGAACACCACCGTCACTGAGCTCGTGCTCGCTGATAACCAATTCTCTGAGGTTCCGAAACCGCTGCCTCAGAGGCTGGAAACTCTTGTTCTGAGCTCGAATCCGATTCCGATTCTAGGGCCGAGAAGGTGCGTAGTCATGAGTCGCGAAGAATACCTAAGGCAATCGGGCCATGAGTCTTGCCGGTACCATCCTGGGTCCTGCCGTATACGTCGTCGACTCCTGCTCTCAGAGAGAACGATTATAGCTGACGGGTAGCCTTGGAATCAGATGCAAATTGTTGAAGCGCGCGATTTTCATTCTAGTTTGTCGCACGTCCCTAGTCTACGGAACTTCACACTATCGTCCGCAAAGGAGTTGCGGAGCATTCATATCGATGCCTTCAACGGTAACAGCGAATTGGTGCGACTAAATTTCGAGATGGACGCTTCGCTCACGAATATCGATTCTCGTATGTTTCGGGGCATGGCCAAGCTCGAGCAGGTCTCGTTTCGCGGGAGCGGGCTCGAAACTTTGGACCTGAGTCTTGTAGCCGCGAATCAGCTCCGGCGGCTCGATGTCCGTGAGAACCCCTTCAGGTGAGTCCGTGAGGACGAAGCAGTCGGCCGAGGGAACCGCTCTTTCTTCGAATTTCTACGATGATTTTTCTACGCCCGCGGAATGTATTCAGCATGTTTATACATCTGATCCGTCGTTCTGACTATTCTGGAGAGGTAATGATGCGATCATTTCATTTCCAGATGTGATTGTCGTCTTTCGTGGCTGAGAGATCTTTCGCTCTCGTTTCTCAACGGAAGCCGAGCTAATAGGAAACCCACGCCCTTTGATGACGAGACTGTGAAAATCAAATGCGCCGAACCGAAGCAATTTCGGCATCTATACGTACACAGCATGCCGTCGGCCGCCTTCGAGTGCCGGACAAGGAATCTTCTCTCGTTGATTTTGCTGCCGGTGATCATCGTTTTGCTTGTTGCCGGCGCTGCATTACTAGCTTACCGCTACAGACATAAGCTGCCGTTCAACAAGAGCAAAACGGCGCCCTCGAGCTCCAAGACTCACTTCGAGAAGACCTACATGGTTCCTGCAAACGACTATGAAGGTTATGAAGGTTAGGAACGAAAGATTTTTTGAAGAGAACTTCTCATCGAATATCCCGAAAGGTTACCGAAGATTCTCTGTTGACCCCGAATGACGCGAATGAAATCCTATGAGATCCCTTCGCCTTTCAGGAATCTACCACATACAGCGCAACGCGCCGATTCGCCTGATCCCCGTTACAGAGTTGTGACCCGAGGACAATCGGAGGCCGCTAAGCTTATCCCTCCGTCCAATTCAGATTTCTTTGAGTCGTCCCCCATTACCGGCCCTACCCGTGAGCGCTCGCGCGTCCAACGTAGAAAACGATTACTCGAACATCTACGCGACTCTGAACACGCAGCCTCATAATTACTCAACTCTCAAACATTCCCTGAGTAGTGGAGCTGACTCAATTTCTACTCCTTTGACGTCGCTTTCGTCTCTATCGACGTATGAGAGAGCTCCGTACTGTTATGTGTTTGAGTGAAGGCCGCGAAAGCCATCGCTCCTTGATTCCAAGCTCGTGGGTTCTCTTCCATTCAGTTAGGGAGCTCACTGAGATTCTCCGGAAGAAGAAACTTGTTCCTCGAGCCGATTCAGGGATTTTTTCCGGTGACTTCACTCCCCGACATGATTCTCAGCGGATCTTCTATTCCTGCAGCGGTCCCATTCTTTCGAAGGGATCTTCCTCCGTTTTGATTCTTTTGTATTATTTTGTTGATTCTATAAGTTATTCATCTACTATCCAGATGTATGATGTTGGGGCTACTATCTCCCGCATCAGTCACCGTTCAAGTCGAGCTGAAGAGACTTGCTCTCATCTTCAAGAGAAATATTTTCGGTTGTGAAAATGCTCCCTCGGAGTATTTGATTTTTCTCATTTCGGTTTTCCGCTCGATCACCCAGCTGGACACTGGTTGATGAATGAATTGCGTTTATTACGGTTAAGTGAATGGAACCGAGGTTCATTTCCGTGTCAGTCGAACAAAAGACCAAAGAAGAGTTTTATTTTTCTGCCGGTATTTCGAAGCCGGAAGCGCGACTGTTGGAAAATCCTAGAAGAACTGCCTCGTTCCACCATCAGGGACGATATAGGAGGATCTGGGTCGAAAAACTTTGGAAGAATTCGATCAGACATTTCCTGATGGTCGATCGAACGTAGGCCTCCGAAGTCCTACATAATTCCGCAATGGGGAGCGGGAGCGAATTCATATCTCTCTGCAGTGAAGGTCGTCGCATGCGAAAGTTATTGTGTACATAACATAATATAATCCCATCTAGTGAATGAGCACGATGCAGAAGCGGGAGAGAAGAAATGTAGTTGTGAGCACGGCGATGACGTGGAACGAACCGATAAGCGGGAGACTCGTCCGCGGCTCAACCGATTTAGTATGGATGTTTGCCGAAAGCTATCAGAGAAGGAAATTGTGCAATCCAAACGCTAACAACGGTCCGGCAACATCTGCGCACGATGAGGAGTCTATGCAGTAACTCTTCTAGTTCCAACGAGTCCGAGAAGCGATGGGAGCCTTAAATTGGAAGCGGACACACAAAAGGTTCAGTCAGCCCGTCGCTCAGCGAGAGGGCTCCGATCGAATCTCTATATGTGATCCATCGAAATGGGTCTTCCTATGAGGGGTGGGGACTTCAGAGAGCACCCTTCCAAAATTATCGCAGCGTAAACGAAATACGATTGGGAAACCGAAACGAAAGCGTTTGGGCGAATAGACTCCGATCGGATTGGTGCCGCACCAGAGTGTAAATAACGGAAATCACCTGACTGCAGATCATGTTGGTGATCATGGATTCGTAGCATATCACGTTGAGAGAATAATATATTCGAGAAATTGAATAAGGAAAAGGGAAACTCTTTCACGGTCGAAATCAGCGGCGGAAGATTGAAGGAAGAATGTTATCGGGAAGGGTGACTCTCGATCGAGTCTTAGACGAATCACGGAAGGAAATGCTTTCTCGGTTGCTTGCGCGTGAATCGGAGGAGAGACACTAGCTAGTGATGTATGTACATAGTCAGTCCAATTGAATGTCAGCATACTGACTTGCAAGAACACAGTCTTTAATAAAGAAGAAGACTCGCACACTCCAACGGCTGGCGTTCTTCTCAACTTCCATTTTCGGCTTTTGCCAAAGAGGATACTGCTCGCCGTCGATATGAATGTATACGAAAACTTTCGAAAAAAACAAGAACCTATTGAGAGAGAATGGGGCGAGGGGTGACTCGAGAACACTGCCTCGATGGGCGGTGAAAAACTGAAGGACCTCGATACATGGAGGAAATGTCGTGGAAGCGCTCCGCAACGCGCAAGGGAGCGGAACACCGAACTTAAATTCTCGCGGTCAGGAAAGGAGGCGTGCTTTCGCAATTTCCTTCCACAGTCGGAGGCGAACTAGGCGACGAAAGTTTTCCGAACCATCTCATCCCACTTTTTTAGCATCTTATGGAAGCGTTCTCCAGAATCGGCAGGCGAGCGAGTTGTTCTTGGACTTCATCGGTTCCTCTTCATCTGATTACAGAGGATGAGACGGACAAAACGGATAGTTCCCGCTCGGGTTTATCCGGTTCGCTCTGCTCGCTGGAATCGCTCGTCAGCTGGCAGACACTCTCCACCTGGAGCTCTCTCGATCTCGTCCTCTGAGGGAGCTCAATTCAACTTTTCTCCGCCCACGAGATACTGTATGTTTTCCGCCCCGGTCGAAAAGATCACTCGCTCGATATTCAAGACTGTTTATTTCATCTGCTCCCAGTTGGGAATCGTTATAAGAGGTGATTCGAGGAACTCTACGGCGCGTCACCAGCCTAGTTGCGTCTTAATGGTGGGCATTCTTCTGAAGCACTGCGATACCTGTCGGACGTAAGGAGCTGAAACCTTCTCTTGGAGTTCCCAGCCAAGAAAAGCAAGGACAAGCTCCAAAGTCCACGGCTAATTGTCGGTACATTTTTCATGACAAAACACAAACTCAAATCACCTGGTTTGATATATAGCTTAGTCATAGCTACTTCTGTTGAGGTGGACTCCGGACGTTCCTGACGGGCGCCCGAGCTCGCACTCCACCTTCCACGCCAACCCTCCCGAGTCGCCTGTCTGGCTGTGCGCCGGTCATATTCCTGGAGACGTACCACTCGGATATGATCCCCAACATTCTTCCTGCGACTGCGAGTTTTGCTCCTGGCACACCATGGTCTGAAGAGAAACAACGGTATTGATTTCCCGAACAGAACTTCGTGTTGACTAGAGTCTGGACACATTTGTAAGTATATCATCTAGACTGGTTCCCGATGCACTCCATGCTCACCTCTGATAATTTCCGCGAGAGGCAAATTGAACTCTCCCGCCGTTTGATTGGCTCGTGATGAATGCACCTCGGTCACGATCGTCAGAGAGAGCAGGAGAAGACATAACGCGTTCGGGGCATTCATGTCAGTAGATTGATTGTAAGCTTGAGTACAGCCCTTTTCTCACGCTATCCCAGCTCCTCTGTCGCGACTCTGTAGGAACTGAGGTCCCATTCAATATACGTCCTCGGCTCCGGAATCCTCTCAATCTCTCCACTGTCGGGCGAGAAGAAAAAAGTCGAAATCCACTTTCTATCGCTCAGAGGCAGAGCGTCTGCACGGTAACCTCGAACGAGTACCACCCGTTTTTCGAGCTCTGGGTTCGTATCATCACCGGTAGTCTCGTGTATGAAATGATTTTGATGGGACCGGGAGAGCCTCTGCATCCGAACGATGCGCACATCAATATCAAAGCAGAAATTGGGGGTTCCGAACGGCGACCTTCCGGACGGTCCGCTTTGAGCGGCACCAATTTTCACCCGGCTGTAGATCTGCCTCTTAAGGACTCGCTCGGCGCATGCCGAGTTCGATGGAGTTCAATAGGACCTATAGAAATTGCGATAATCCGCAGAAGACGAGGACCCCTTTTAATCGCTTTCGTGAGAGCTCGTCATTGCTGAACCCGGATCCGTGAGAGAGGGTTATCCATCCCCAATGATCAAGAAGTCCTGTCGATCAAGACTCCATAGCTCGTGATCTAACTCTCGAGACCGAAACGAGCTCATCCGAGTCTGATCCTCATCGATCAGGTGTTGCGAGTGAACCTTTTCTATTAAGGGGATCCGCCCCTATTCCGATGAAATGAGTTCTCTCGCTTCCCTTCCACACCGCTGTAGGTTCATCGCTAATTGCACCGCATTGAGGATCGACATCGGACACGTATTATAATTCAGAACACAGCCCTGATGACCGTTGGTCCGTGTTACCCCTGGGGTTTCTCGCTCACCGAGGAACATGTCCCAGAAATTGCTGAAAATAGAGGAGTCAGGAAATGTGGCCCATTCGGGGATCAGCGTCGAGAATTCCTTTGATCAACTCACTCGGACTCCCGAATGAGAATTAGGTACGCTATTTGCAATAACTAACTGCATGTGTCGGGATAGCCAGCCGCTGTAGGTCTCCGCCCTGAGCTCCTCTTGAGCATTGAAATAGCATACTACTTTCAAGGCGCACCGCGATTTGCCAGATGAGAAAGTTCTCTGTAGCGCTTCATTGTCAAGCAATGTCCCATTCAAGATGATTTCACCAGTCACCAGTTCGTCGACCGGAGCAGCGATCGGATGTTTGGGCTCTGTAATTTGTACTCACATTACTCTCGTTCGTTTCGAAACTGAAGAGAATCGTCATTGGATTCGGTGACATGAGCTCAGGAGCTCGTGACTCACCGGAGACAGCAGCGCCGGTGGAAGCTTGCGCTCCGTCGAAGGCTTGAGGAGTCGGAGCAGAACGCGCGCCCCGGACCGTTATCAGACGGACGAACACCGATACCAGTAGCGGAAGAGTTCGACTGCATGATTCTCTTCTCGGCTGGAATGATTAGCCCGATTTTTGGGTTCGACGTCAATTCAGACAATATTTCTCCCGCGTAATACCGAGGGCTCTACGCTGTTCGCGATTGGGAACGAGTTATTGTCCCGTATAAAGGACCCTCGAGCAACCGATCACAGAGGGCGATGCGACGTATTGGCGAAATCAGCTCCCATGCTTTCGAAAAGAAACTACGGATCCGTTGGTGTCGAAACCTTCTCTTCTCGGGTGCGAAGCGAATAAGAGATTCGAGGTAGCGCATCTGAACTTGTCTCGTTCATAGACTCACGGGAGAGGAGAGACAGCGGCCGATCAGAAATACACGGCACCTC